ATAGAACCATCATTATGGTTTATAACCTCACTGTGTGCCGTTTATGCATTTCAGACTGTAATGTTACATAAGATGAATCGTGTCCTTGCCACAAATATCCAAATAATCAGCTGGTGAAGGATGTTTTCTATGCAGCGGCCCATGGAATTACAATTACTTTTCATCCCTGGTGGTGATTTCCTATATCATAATAAAAAACGACAGTGATGCTAACAAGAGAATGAGACGCAATCCTCTTGAGAACAAAAGGTTAAGTACTACAATTCTGTGACTTCCAGATATAGCATATTTTATCTTGTTTTTCCAAGAAAAATATCTTATAAAAATATATTAGGAAAAAGTATGAAACATTGTTTCAGAATGTATCTTCAATATAAATGTGTTTTCTCTGGCAGATTGCAACAAAATATTTTTTTTCATGGGATATGTATTATGCATATGATCAAGAATATGATTTTGATGTGCCTTTGATCGATAATTTCACAAAATCCTGAAAAATATTTCCAACGATAACAGTAATGTCATGCTTTTACACCCAGAAACGCAGTGAAATAGGGCTGTCCTTTTGTACAAGAGCTTTAGACTACTCCTGTAATGCTAGAAAGGTAGGAGAAGAGAGGGTACGAGTAAAGTATCTTTCTTTTCACGCAGTAGAAGAGGATTCTCATTCATGTTGAGCCACACAGGTGATACACAAAACCTTATCAGCGTGGGCAGAAAGGCAGCGGTCATGGTGCACTGCTCTTATTGTGACACTGCGCCGTTCTCCCAGACATACTGGCAGTGTGAATACTGCTGTGTTCTGCTCTGGACTGGAGACACATCGGACTGGAAGGGAGAGAAGTAACATCCGCAGAGGAAGACTTTAAAAAGAAAGGAATGGAATTAAATGAAGCATTTTGTTTCTTTCAGAGTGTTAGGAGAAAATGATAACTGTTTCAGCTGTGGCCCCAAAAAGGGCTCAGACACTTAGATGATTATTGTTTCTAAAATAACCAGTGTTGGGAAGGTTACTTTGAAAATGTAATAGATTACAGGTTACAAGTTACCCTATTTAAAATGTAATAAGTAGTGTAACTATTTTGTATTTTTTTTGTTGCTGCCGTGTGTTTTGAGTTTGAGCTCCGTCAAGTTAATTCTTTATCGTCTATTTTTTATCTTAAAATCAATTTTATACGCCATCATTTTCATTTCTATAACGCGTGAATATATCCCCTATCGTATTCTACAACAAAACAATCAGAGCGCCTTGTTATCACTAGTTCTATTTTTGACTTCCAGAGTCCGCTATTAGCATATAGCCCACTAGCATCGCCAGCGTGGTTGCCGCTAATCTCGCTTACATTGCTAATACTCTATTCACACACATTACCATTGTTTTACTCACTGTTACTTGCTTTAATGGCGGATGTGTGTCTACCTTTGAGTGCAGGTGAGGACACGTTCGAGCTGCATTCGGTGCAGCTGAAACTGCTCTTTGTTAATAATTGGAATCTTTTCTGGGAGCGTCCTAGGCTTTTTCGCGCTGATGGCCTGCACCCCAGCAGAGTCGGAGCGGAACTCCTGTTGGACAACATCTCCAGGACACTATGCTCCATATGACTAGTAAGCCAATTCTCAAATAACTGCTATGATGACTTTTGTTCTACCCGCTTAAATGATAGAAGTACTTGCGCTGTCCAATCTATAAAGACTGTGTCTGTTCCCCGAATAGTGAGGTCAAAATATAAATTTAATGCAGGATCTAGAAAAAATCTGATCGTGATTAAACCAGAAAAATTAAAAATAAATGAACAAAAATTTTTAAAGTTTGCACTCCTAAACATTTGATCACTCGCACCCAAAGCAGTTATTGTAAATGAAATTATCACAGATAATCGTTTTGATGTACTCTGCTTGACGGAAACCTGGCTAAAACCTAATGATTATATTAGTCTAAATGAGTCTACTCCACCAAGCTACTGTTATAAGCATGAGCCCCGTCAGACTGGTCGTGGCGGCGGTGTTGCAACAATATATAGTGATATTCTCAATGTTACTCAGAAGACAGGATACAGGTTTAACTCATTCGAAATACTAATGCTTAATGTTACACTGTCAGATATGCAAAAGAAATCTATAGTATCTCTTGCTCTGGCTACTGTGTATAGACCACCAGGGCCATATACAGATTTCCTAAAAGAATTTGCAGATTTCCTCTGAGACCTATTGGTTACTGTTGATAAAGCACTAATTGTTGGAGATTTTAACATTCACGTTGATAATACAAATGATGCATTAGGACTTGCGTTTACTGACCTAATAAACTCTTTTGGAGTCAAGCAAAACGTCTCCGGGCCCACTCATCGTTTTAATCATACGCTAGATTTAATTATATCGCATGGAATTGATCTTACTGATATAGATATCGTACCTCAAAGTGATGATGTTACTGACCATTTCCTTGTATCGTGCATACTGCGTATTACTGATAATAACTATATCGCTCCGCGTTATCGTCTGGGCAGAACTATTGTTCCAGCCACCAAAGACAGATTCACAAATAAACTGCCTGATTTATCTCAACTGCTCTGTGTACCAATAAGTACACATGAACTAGACGAAATGACTAGCAACATGGGCACTATCTTCTCTAATACATTAGAAGCTGTTGCCCCCATCAAATTGAAAAAGGTTAGAGAAAAACGTACTGCGCCATGGTACAACAGTAATACCCATTCTCTCATTACAATTTACAACTAGAAGGATGTACTGTTACTTCCTCTACAGTCAAAAATCTGGGTGTTATATTAGATAGCAACTTGTCTTTTGAAAATCATATTTCCCATGTTACAAAAACAGCAAGTTAATCTTAAAGAAAAATAAAGCATATACATAAACCCAAATAGGAAATAAAACAGTTCTCGAATAAGCATGTGTCCTAAACTCCTGAAATATTGGTATCTCATATTTTAGAGCAGTCAATGCAATTTATTAAAGAAATCAATTAAATCTCTGTGTGTGTGTGTGTGTGTGTGTGCGGGAAAATATTCAGATGTAACCCCCTTTGTAATCATTAACATTTTAATAAGTAACTGTAATTTAATTATACATTTTTTCTCAGTAATTGCAACTGATTACAATTACATTTATTTTGTAATTTAATTATGTAATTTCATTACATGTAACTACACTGAACAAAATTATAAACGCAACACTTTTGTTTTTGCCCCCATTTTTCATGAGCTGAACTCAAAGATCTAAGACTTTTTCTATGTACACAAAAGGCCTATTTCTCTCAAATATTGTTCACAAATCTGCAATATTTGAGAGAAATAGGCCTTTTGTGTACATAGAATGAGTTCAGCTCATGAAAAATGGGGGCAAAAACAAAAGTGTTGTGTTTATAATTTTGTTCAGTGTAGTTACTCCCCAACACTGAAAATAACAGACTTCTTTTTGTGAAATGTTTTGCTTTTAAAGTGTGCTTGCCCTAGTAAAAAAGTAATATATTTAAAATGCATATTTCATACTTTTGGTCAAAACTATAAACATATTTACTGACATATCACTTGAGACTTACTGATATAAAAATTATAATTCAACTTTATTTGGAGTACTATGTAACGGTGGTAGCCGCTCTAGCATAGAAAAACTTGTTAAAGAATGTACGGGCGCCAGTCAGGATTAATCCTGACAAAAAATTTTTTTAATTAAATTAACCTAGGATAGCTAGAAAAGGAAACCACCTGTTACAATATTAAATAAAAACAGTCAGAGAAAACTCTGTTCACAAGGGAGATTTATTCCACAATGTCCATGAAAAAAGAAAAAAAAAACTTGTCTGAACAATAAGAAACAAAAGAAAAAACAGTTCAGCACTTTAGTTCAATTCCAGTTTGAAATCCGTGTAGTAATTGCGTCACACTAATTCACGTTTCCAACACGGCCGATTCACGTCCACAATCATTTATAAATTGTCCATAGAAAAAAAAGAGGAAAAAATAAACATTAAATAAACATTTTGTTCATTTCATAGTTACGGAATAACATCAAACAACAATCTTAAAGCAACAATAACCATTGAACAATCATGGAAAACAATAAGCACACCAAATGTGTGAGGGTGAATGTTATGCGAGTGCGTGTGTGTGTGTAGTAGTGAGTGAATGAGTGTGTGCACTGACAATGTAGAGGTACTGACCAAGTTTACATTCTTGAAGGAAGCTGGAGAGTGTATTGGGTTGTCATCAGACACCAGGACAGGTGGATAAGCAGCCTTCAGAACAGCCTTACTAAAACCAGACGATCTTGAAGTGCACGCTTTAAAAGTCAAGTGAAACTCCGCGACGCACCAAACATCGCTCACAGGAAGCAACAGTTCGACAAGCGGCCGTCTTTCCACTTTGCACGGTAATCCAATCACTCTCACTACTGCAAACCTTACTGAGGACGCAATCACTCTCGGGTATGACTCACTTCCTTATATCATCCTTCCTTCCGCCGTTAATTGAAATACTCCCCCCCCCAATCATGCAAAGTGAAAACAAAGTAAACCGAAAATATGTTGTTTTAAGTTACAGACATGTGCTTGTCCGGACATCCTCTCCAGTGTACAGACTGCAGCTCGAGATTGGAAAAGACCTGGATAGTGCATCTGGGGCTACATTGAGTTTCCCTTTTATGTACTCAATAATGAAATCGAATTTCTGCAGTCGTAGGACCCAATGGATGAGTCGGCTGGTGGTTTTGGTGGAACCCATGACCCATTGCACAATTACCAGATATTTGTGAGAGATTTTTGAGATTTTTTTTATTGAAAAGATTGCTGGCATTCAATCTTCATTTGTTTCTCTTTGTTCTAGCTCTTTGGTCGACTGTTCAGTTTCTTCAGCTACCTTGTGCAGCTTTCAGCCGGTGTCTCTCTCTGAGTTAAGGGAATTAGTGATGCAGACCCACCTGACATTAGGAGTGCTTCTTCTGTTTCTATTTTCAAGTCCAGACTTAAGACACATTTTTACTCTCTCGCCTTTCCGGGCTATTAATTGAATGTGAAACTGTTGTTATTGCCGATATTACAATTTTTTTATTATTGTTTTTTTAAATTTTACTTTATTTTAGAATTTACTGTATTTTATTATTGGTTTTGTCCAGCACTTTGGTCAGTGTAACGCTGAATTTTAAATGTGCTCTATAAATAAAACCTACTTACTTACTTACTTACATTGCAGAGCAGAGTGGTCAGTGACAACTGTGAAGAGTTTAGCTCCTGTTTTCTACTGGCATAGGCAATGACCTCCTCTTTGCCCTGGTCTTTCCGTTGTGCCAGAATGGCACCCAAACCGGTGTCACTGGCACCGGTGTAAATGGTGAAGGGGAGCTGAAGATCTGGATGGCCAAGGATGGGTGGTGAGGTGAGGCAAGACCTTAACTGTTCAAGTGCTTGTTGACACTGATTTGTCCACTGAAATCGATGTCCCTTCTTTTTCAGTGAGTTAAGGGGTTCGGCTATTCTTGAGAGGTTCGGGACAAACCGATGATACCACCCAGCCAATCCAAGGAACCTTTGAACCTCCTTCAGGTTTCTAGGCACGGGGTAGGCATTAATGGCCTCAGTATTACATGGGTCTGCTGAGATGCCGTGAATGCTTTTGTCCTAGAAAGGTGATTTATTGAAGACAGAACTTGCTCTTCTTCAAATGAATAGTTAGACCAGCAGTCTCCAATCTGTGGAGGACAGTCTGAAGGTTATGTAAGTGCGGGGTGATTGAAGGTAAGTGAATGATGATATTGTCTATATAGATGAAGCATATTTTTTCTCCTTAGTTCCCCCAGGACTATTTCCATAAGTCTCTGGAAAGTGGCGGGAGCATTTTTAACACCAAACGGCATAACATTAAATTGATAGAGACCTGCAGGAGTGATGAAGGCAGTTTTGGCCTTGCTATTGGGGTCCATCGCTACCTGCCAATAGCCACTGTTAAGATCAATAGTGGAGAAAATGGCTGCTCCAGAAAGCGACTACAGGATTTCTGTGATGTTTGGAAGAGGGTAAGCATCACTTTCTGTTACAGAATTAACCTTTCTGTAGTCCACACAAATCTCAGTTTGCCATCCTTTTTGGGTACCAAGACCACTGGGGAGGCCCAACCAGAGTGGGATGGCTCAACAATTCCTTGCATCAACATTTCCTCAAGCTGTTCCTCCATGGCAAGTTGTTTAAGAGGGGACAAGCGATATGGTTTTTTGCTTAATGGGTACCTGACAAGTGGTATAAATGTGGTGTTGCAGAACATTGGTATGTCCAGTCTGGAGAGTACACACCCGAGGGTTGCTTTCCAGGATGCGAAGCAACTGTTGTTTACCATCTGGAGGTAAATGAGCTTCATTCACTGCATTTTCGAATAAAGTTTTTTCATCCATACTGTGAGGTTGTTGAATTAGCAGTTGAGGGGTTGGAGGTGGAATAAAACTTAATAGAGACAGATTCTGTGTTGTTTTCTTCTGTTGCAGGTGTTCCTGTTGTGGACTCACAATTGGCACACTGGCATTGCCTGGTTGAAAGGGGTACTCTTTTGCAGGTGCAAGCATGAAAGGATATTTTTGATCGGTGACATTAAGCTGCATTCCACTGAAGAAAATAAAATCCAACCCCAGGACTACAGCATAGGCGAGGGCTTGTGACGACAGAACAGCAGCAGGTATAGGGAAAGCTTGGTCGTGGAGTTGTATTGTTGGTATTCATCCAGCCTAATGGAATCTCTGCTTCTCCATTTGCTAGATAGAGAGGACCACTGGAACATGGATGGAGCTGATCTGGTGACGTGAGTTGTTTCATGAGACTTTCATGAATAAGTGTGTAACTTGCACCAGTATCCAAGATGGCTTTTCCAGTCCAGGCAGCAATACTAATGGGAACGACCAACTGCTGAGGTACTGTCATTGGTGCATTAGGGCTTGTGGAGATAGAGGCTTTCTTGGTGGTAGATGGAGGCTTCTGCATTCTTGTAGCAGTCACCGAGTTGTTAGAAGACACCAAGAGTAATGGTGGTGCTGGGAATTTGTGGTGCCAATGTTTGTTGTTCTTCAATTTGATTTTGGAGACCTTGAAATCCTTTCTCCATCTCATTTCTCAACTCCTTTACACACATGGAAAGTTTGTCAATTTTAGGTGACACATTGCTGAAGTTCTTAAGTAATGTGATCATGGCTTGTTTGAAATGTGTGTTGAACAGCTTTGATGTCCTGCTGGACTTCTGACTGGAGTTGATCTACCATGAAACGCATTTCCGACACCAAGGTAGATTCCACCTTTTGGAGTTCATCTGTAATCATTTGCTTCATTGCTTTAGTCAACTTGTCTGTTTCAGATTCCTCTTGTTGTTTGGTAGTGGTCAACATAGTGAAAACTTGGCTCTTGTTATCCTCCACTTTTGCAGCAAGGTCAGCGAGTTGATTTTTGTGATGGGAAGAAGTGGCTTTCATTTCTTGGGTAAGATCATTCACTGTTTTTTTCTTGCCTTTTCATGAAGTCAAATAGATTATCCCAGTTCCCTTGTACCTGAGAAGTAAACTGTTGAATTTCCCTTCCAGGAGTTGGTAGAACGTTGGGTAGGTCACGTTGTGCCACAGAAGGAGTTTCACCTTAAGATGATGTGCAGATTTGCATGTTATCCGCTTGTGGTGAGAAGGTGAGAGTTTGTACAGGAGTGCTGCCAGCCAGAGCAGGAGAAGACATTAGCATATGGGATACAGGATGCATGGGGCTGAATGGAATAGGGGTGTTATTCACTGCAGAGACACCAGGTGGAGCTGCTGGAGGCATCAGAGGTCGCACTACTGGTGGCCATATTGGAGTTGAGGTGTCTAGAGGTGACTCCATTTCTATGAAAGTGGATGGGGAAGGAGGTGTAGTCACCATTTTTTTGTCGTGTTTGTGTGGGTGAAAGAAATGTTGGGTAGAAAATCAGCAAATGTAAATCAGTAATTATGTATGTGTCAGTATTTTCTTACACCACAGTTTTCACAAAACACCAACATACAATTTTTCACAAATGGTTGGATAAAATACTTTACCCCAAGACAACAACTTAAATTAGGTCACCTTCAATTATCTAAATTACTGTGACACCTTGGAGATAACAACTCTACTTAACCAATTAGCGTTCATACACAGTGTGTACAAGTTTCACGGAAAAAAAAAAAAACTTCAAAACTTTTACCATAGGCAAAACAGCTTTGCTAATTCAAACATTTTCAATTCAAGTGTTCAATAAGTCACAATCACTTTCAAAACTTTCACAATTCAAATGTTCACACACAAAAAACCTTTTAAGCTTTTCCCGATTAATAACACTCCCGCAATCAAAAGCACAGAATTTCCAAAAACACAACGGTTTTCTTTTAAAGTTCAAAAAACTTGAACCTTCAACAATTTACCATAAGGTTTCAATAATTCCCCAACAAAAACAATTCACAAAAATAAATGTTCAGGTCTTCAAGTTATAAATGTTCAAGTCATAAATGTTCAAGTTTTCAAGTCCTTGTTCGGGCGCCACTCTGTAACGGTGGTGGCCGCCCTAGCATAGAAAAACTTGTTAAAGAATGTTCGGGCGCCAGTCAGGATTAATCCTGACAATTTTTTTTTTAAATTAACCTAGGATAGCTAGAAAGGAAACCACCTGTTACAATAATAAATAAAAACAGTCAGAGAAAACTCTGTTCACAAGGGAGATTTATTCCACAATGTCCATGAAAAAAGAAAAAAAACTTGTCTGAACAATAAGAAACAAAAGAAGAAAAAATAAGCGGAGGAAAAAAAAAACAGATCAGCACTTTACAGTTCAGCACTTTAGTTCAATTCCAGTTTGAAATCCGTGTAGTAATTGTCACACTAATTCACGTTTCCAACACTGCAGATTCATGTCCACAATCATTTATAAATTGTCCATAGAAAAAAAGAGGAAATAAGAAACATTAAATAAACATTTTGTTCATTTCATAGTTATGGAATAACATCAAACAACAATCTTAAAGCAACAATAACCATTGAACAATCATGGAAAACAATAAGCACACCGAATGTGCGGGGATGAATGTTATGCGAGTGTATGTGTGTAGTAGTGAGTGAATGAGTGTGTGCAGTGGCAGTGTAGAGGTACTGACCAAGTTTACAGTCTTGAAGGAAGCTGGAGAGTGTATCGGGTTGTCATCAGACACCAGGACAGGTGGATAAGCAGCCTTCAGAACAACCTTACTAAAACCAGACGATCTTGAAGTGCACGCTTTAAAAGTCAAGTGAAACTCCGCGACGCACCAGACATCGCTCACAGGAAGCAACAGTTCGACAAGCGGCCGTCTTTCCACTTTGCACGGTAATCCAATCACTCTCACTACTGCAAACCTTACTGAGGACGCAATCACTCTTGGGTATGACTCACTTCCTTATATCCTCCTTCCTTCCACCTTTAATTGAAATACTCCACACCAATCACGCAAAGTGAAAACGAAAGTAAACCGAAAAGTTGTTGTGGCCCAAAGTTTTTTGCACTGCCACAACTATTTGTGCACAATGCATATTTCTTATTATTAAGCCTAAATGTGTTTTAATGCCTAGTTCAGTCATGAAACTCTAACGTGCCGCTGATTGGTTGCCACGCAGCCGGTACACCAACCAATCAGCTTTTCCTTTCAATCTAGACTCACCTATATATTCCAGTCTGACCAGGTAGCGTTAGACTGCGCACTCGCTTTGAATCGAAGACTGCGCACTTGTTAAATTGCAAGCTATGTTCCTAGCAGTCATAGTTACGTTGTCCCTGTTCCTGAACTGCTATATCTCGAGAGGCATGTCTCACCTCGACCTCAAAAATCTTCTGTCCCTGGATGAACCTGCCGCTGATCCATTGTCGGAAACAGAAGCTCCCAGCAATCCTCCTGACGGAGAACATTTCAGAGCACCAGCCCAGCGGAGCACTAGACTGGTTCAGCGTCAATTTAATATCTCCGAATGGCCTGTTCCAAGGATTCTGGAATATTTGTTTGAGCACAACATCTCTCCTCCGACGGGTTCATCTCGCGATGAACTATTTACCTTCCTCATCTCTTCCTGTGACAGAGCTTCAACTCCTCCCCCATCGCTTAAGTCAGCCCCGACGAAAGCTAAAAGTAAAAGGAAACACCTCACTCCAGCATCCTCTTCTCCAGCTAAAAGACCCCGCATCGACCATGAAGATTGTTCTACGGTCTCTCCATATCCCATGCTTTCTGCTCTTATTGAAATCAAAGAATCCATAAATAAACTGGATAATCGGGTTTCAACGCTTGAGAAGCCTAATCGCACTTCCAACATTCAAGCCTCAGCCACACCTCTTCTCCAAGACACCTCCGCTGGTTTCTCCCAGGACTTCCTGCCACGTCATACCCTTGCCTCAGCTGTACCTGCTACATCTTCGGGAGCTCCTTTCATCCCGCCGGCAGCAGGTATTCCTCAAAGTTTGAGGAACCAAATAATCGCAGGTAACGACATCAACCTAGTAAAAATGTTACTGTGTTCTTCAGGGGTCTTAGATAAACGCGTGGTAGACTGTGGCGATGTGTCGGTCGTTCTCAAAGAATGTGACCCACGACTTTCTAAAAGTTTGTCTCTAGCGGAGTTTAATGTGGCTTTCGGCGTGTACAGAGACACTCTATGTGAGGTTTTTCCTAAGCGGAGGATTGAACTCGATACCTATTCAGCGATCATATCAGACCTGGCACTTAATTACGGAGGCTCCCTATTTTACGAATACCATAAGAGTTTTTCAGCTAAGGCAGCTTTATACCTTCAGCGTTTCAACCTCAAATTAGACTGGTCTGTCGTGGATCTCGAATTGATCAGCAGACACTTTACGGGACATAAAGCTATTTCTTGCTCTGTTTGTGGATCTTTTTCCCATTCTGCCAGCCTATGCCCCCGCACAGCTTACCAGGCGTCTCAGGGGTCTCCAGTCAAGTCCAAAAAACCTGTTCCCGGGTCAAAATTCCCTGCTCAGAGCCACGTGAAACATCAAGATATTCACCTCACACATGTATACATTTCAACTAATCTGTATGTCCTTACGTTAACTGTAAATTTTTACATTGTTGTGCCATTTGTGGCGATAGTCATCCTGGAGCCGTTTGTCCCCGCAGGTTCAAAGCTCCTCCCAACTCTACCAAAAGATGAATAAACATCCATCAACTCCAATCAACGTTCCAGTTATTGTCTGATATTTTGTCTAATCATCCTTACCATTGTTTTGTTAATTTTCTCATTACTGGTCTAATTCAAGGCTTTATGGCAGGACTTACAGCGGGTCAAAATTCCCTGCTCAGAGCCACGTGAAACATCAAGATATTCACCTCACACATGTATACATTTCAACTAATCTGTATGTCCTTACGTTAACTGTAAATTTTTACATTGTTGTGCCATTTGTGGCGATAGTCATCCTGGAGCCGTTTGTCCCCGCAGGTTCAAAGCTCCTCCCAACTCTACCAAAAGATGAATAAACATCCATCAACTCCAATCAACGTTCCAGTATTGTCTGATATTTAAAGACATATTTTCCCTCGCGTACGCTTCTGTAGATCACGCCATTCAATTAATCAAATCCACGGGTAGAGGTTCGTGGCTCGCGAAAGCAGATATTACTGATGCCTTTAAAATCATGCCTCTGTATCCCTCCCAATGGCCTTTTTTCGGGATTAAATGGAGATCAAAAATGTTTTTCTCAGTGCGTCTCGCCTTCGGCTGCCGTAGCAGCCCTAAGATTTTCGATTGCCTATCCGAAGCGCTTTGCTGGATCCTCCTTAATGTCTATAAACTCCCATTTGTTCTCCATTTACTAGACGATTTTTTAGTGATTGACTTCCCCAATTCTCCTCCCGAACGGTGCATTTCTAAACTTAAATAACTTTTTTCCAGTTTAAATTTTCCTCTCTCTGAGGAAAAAACATTCGGCCCTTCTACCTCCCTCGAATTCCTAGGCATAATTTTAGACCGTAAATCCATGCAAGCGTCTCTCCCGTCTCAAAAACTGGATCGCATCTATTCTTCTAAATGACTGGAACGGCATTTCTTTCTTTTATAACGATTCATTTGAAACCTCTCTCTCCCTCAAAATATCTACTGACGGAATCCTTTCGTCGGATTCGGCAGAATTTTCGGTAATTCATGGTTCGCTGACTCCTGGCCCGCAGAAATGTTAAATCTGCCAGATGAAATTAAATCAACTGCCCTGTTTGAATTGTATCCAATCGTGTTAGCCTGCTTGCTTTGGGGGGATCAATGGCAAAGAAAGAAAATCATCGTGCTTTGTGATAACGAAGCCGCTGTCAGTTTTGCAGGGCCGCGCTTTCATTTCAAGACTCCTAGATTTATCTAAATCCGTACGTAATCTTCATGATACTATATCATTAGATCAAGGCTGTCTCTCTGATTTGCATTTCTGGTCTATTCTTCTAAACCAAATACGCCCAGTCTTTTAAACCATCCCTCCATTCGTCTCCTTCTTCAAGGTATTCTCAAAACCTCACCAGATTCTAAAGATAAACGCCTTCCTCTCACTCTGCCTCTTTTACATAAGCTATTACATCGTCTAAGACTTGGGGTTTTTGGCTTTCATACTGATCTGCTTTTAGAAACTGCCTTCCTCACTGCCTTCTATGGATTTCTGAGATGCGGGGAATTTACTTGTTTAACAATTGCGGCGAAACTCGTGGTCTATTTGCGCTATACGTCTGTTTCTAGGTTTAAGCCGGTCGGCACGGTAGCCAAGGCACACATTCTAGTAGGTCACTAGATTAAGCTGGTTCGTCAAAAAGCTTAAACTGCTTTGCCAACTCTGCGGTCTCAACCCTGAAGTCTACACGCCTCACTCCTTCAGGATCGGAGCAGCTACTACTGCAGTTCAGAAAGTGCCTTCTGCTACTCTGAAGAAATTGGGACGGTGGTCCTCATCAGCCAACGAACGATATATTAGACCTAACGCTAAAGACATTCTAAATGCCCAAAAACTGATGAGCTCTTGAATCTCTTATCTTATTCTATTTCAGGTGTTGTGTTCGACTGAGGAGGGTATTGCATTGGTATCGACTGTATTGTCAGTATCAACAAATATAGTGGTTTCATATTAACAATTGCGGCGAAACTCGTGGTCTATTTGCGCTATACGTCTGTTTCTAGGTTTAAGCCGGTCGGCACGGTAGCCAAGGCACACATTCTAGTAGGTCACTAGATTAAGCCATACGGCATGGTAGCCCAGCACACATAATTATGGGCATTAGAGTAAGCCGGTCGGCAAGGTAGCCAAGGCACACATTTTTCTTTAGCCCACTAGGATAAGCCGGTCGGCATGGTAGCGGAGGCACACATAGCCAGTACACTCGGGTTCCATAGCTCTACGGAGCAGCAAAGAAACCATACACATGTTTTGACGGCAGATCCGCAATCAAGGTCTAAGGACTGCGTTCAGTCGCAGCCTATCTGCTATGTTGGGGGAGTCTTATGCTGCAGGTAGCAGCTAAGTTTCATTCTCTCTGTTTATTGTGGTTAGCAGAGCAGTGTGTTCTGCCTGCCGTCGCAGCAGCAGCAGCGTAGCAGATCTAGTCCGCCAAAACCAAACTATAATATGTACATTCATATTCTAATAAATATTTTGTTTATCTCCGAGAGTTGTCATGACTGAAATGTCTAGTTCAGTCATGAAACTCTAACGTGCCGCTGATTGGTTGCCACGCAGTCGGTACACCAACCAATCAGCTTTTCCTTTCAATCTAGACTCGCCTATATATTCCAGTCTGACCAGGTAGCGTTAGACTGCGCGCTCGCTTTCCCTCCTCCTCCCCTACGCACCACCTGTCTAGATCTGCTACGGGGTATTTCATCAAACAGCTAATTCCATGTATTGGGGGAGTCTTATGCTGCCAGGTAGCAGCTAAGTTTCCTTCTCTCTGTTTATTGTGGTTTAGCAGAGCAGTGTGTTCTGCCTGCCGTCGCAGCAGCAGCAGAGGAGCAGATATAGTCCGCCAAAACCAAACTTATAATATGTACATTCATATTCTAATAAATATTTTGTTTATCTCCACGAGTTGTCATGACTGAAATGTCATTATTGATGAAGACTGTATGATCTTTGAATAATATCGGTCTTTAAATGCAAAACATTTAAAGTGTACCTAAAGTATACTTGCAAAAGTTTAACCCGATCTCATGAAAGTCCGTATAAATAGTATGCCAAATAAAAACGAAAACTCGTGGTATTGATACGTGAGACCGGGCTCAAAAGTTCCACTTAAGCACAATCAAATATAGTTAAGTATAGTATCTTTAATTAGACTTCAGCACTACTTCAGCACAATTAAAGTGCATTAAGTACATAATTAGTTGTTCCAATTTAGCAGACTTCAAGTACACCAGTTTAGAATACCAAAAGTACCGTTGCAGGGTAATTTTATTAAGTACATAAATATGTAAATGTATCTGTAGTATACTTAGCATGAAATAAATGTATTTCAAATACATTTTAGTATATTTATTTTTCTCTAGGGTGTACTATCTTTCTTTAAAATTAATGACATTTACATTGATAATTTGTATCTAATGCAGTGACATCCAGAATTTTTAAGTGTGACTATCTATAAATGTCCAAAATCTTCCTTTTAGAACTGAAGTGCATTTATGCATTTAACAGACATGTTTATCCAAAGCAGTTTACCCTAGTAAAAAAGTAATATATTTAAAATACATTTATTTCATACTAAGTATAGTTCAAATCTATTAGCATATTTACTGACAGATAACTCGAGACTTACTGATATAAAAACTATAATTAAACTTTATTTGGCGTACCACTTGTGCACAATGCACATTTCTTAATATTAAGTCTAAAATGTGTTTTAATGCCACTTTTGATGAGTATTGTATGATCATTGAATAATATCGGCCTTTAAATACAAAATATTTAAAGTGTACCTGAAGTATACTTGCAATAGTTCCACCTTAGCACAATCAAACATACTTCAGTATATCTTTAGTTGGACTTCAGCACTACTTCCTCACAATTAAAGTGCATTAAGTACAAAATTAGTTGTAGACTTTAAGTATACCAGTTTAGTATACCATAATTACAGTTGCAGGGTATTTTATTGAGTACATAAATATGGAAATGTATTTGTAGTATATTTGGCATGAAATAAATGGGTAACACTTTACGGTAAGGGTACATGAATTACCATGAATTCATGCATAAATTAAAGTGTGAATTATGCATTACTTCATGCATTAATATCTCATTAATTATCAGGAACTAACATGAGTTCAAAGTCTTTCATTCATGACTTCATGGATGAACAACACCTTAATTAAGACATTAAGTAAGGTGAGTACATCATCATGATTTATAATTTATTACGCATGATCATGATGTTTTCTTTGTTCACAAAAAAACAAGGTCTTTACTATCCATTGTGGATAAAGCTATGCTTAGCTATGCTTGATTCAAAAAAGCATTATTTCGTGCATGTAAGACTACTTGAATTATTAAAGGAATATACAGAATATACAATTACCTCATGCATGCATACAGGCTAGAACAGTATATCAATTAATGTGAGAACTAATGTTTTTCATTAAATATGATATGAGTTATCAAGCATGTTCATATCTTCTTCATAGTAGCCTGCAGGTAAATGGACAGACCCCAACATTGGCCAATCACAGCACATAGTATGTGAATTCTGTTAACATCCAAATACAGTAGTCATCATTAACTAAGCATTAGCTTCTCATGACTTCATCATGTGTGTGGCCCCTCAACTAAAGTGGTGACTTGGTCCTTTGGAATACTGATAAACAGTGTGTTATTAATGATGGCATAATTGTGAAATGACATGAATATGAACATGAAAGTTCAAGCTTTTGCACACAATGTATTGTGGACACAAAGGGACTTTGATCTAAACTTTCTGCTTTATTCTTAAACAGTATAACCCAGTTAAATCAACAGCAATGCCTGGGAAGAGCTGAGAAGGAATTCAGTACATATACCATGAACTTG